ATGAAAGGAATCGAACAAAGTTGACGGAAACACAGAATATGCTGAACTCGAGGTAATCAACCGAAGATTTTGCAAAATCGCCCACCAAACCCACCGAAATATCGTTGGTATCGCCTTCGCCCACGGTACGCGCGCCGCCTACGATCCACACCACCTTTTGTTGCCCCCACAGGAGAGCGCAACCCTCAGCGGACAGCGTGCCGTGCCATCAAGGACAAGCAGGGGTACCTCAGCTTCTGGTACGATAATATTAGCTATGCGCTGCAATCAAATTACACAGCCCACAGCGAGCTGCAGAAGGGAGGGAATAAGCACTGGTAGTGCATGGTGCACATCGCTCTCGAGTCCGCTTGGAGGCGGTCGAGCGGACCAGGGTTCGATTTCCCACCAGCGAATGTGTCCTTCTCATGGATTTTTTTGTCTCCCAACTGGATTTCCTGGTCTCCTCGCCAGCTACCAGGATCACTGTTTTGAAAACTGCCAGTGCCAGGTAGGTACGTATGATGACACAAAATTTAATCCCTGCCGGCGCTCAGGGAACGGAATTTTTCAGCACTGACCTCAATGGAGGCACGTTGCGCAGTAGTCTCACTCCTGGACGGCAAAAAAAAGCTCAACACCCCGTGCGTGGACATCGTTACGCATTATTTTTCGAGCCGCATTCTCGATTCGGCACATCCGATATTTCTCACTTTGACCTCTCGCCGAAACTGTCAATTAGGCGTGCGGAACCTGCGTCATAACCATACTCAAGTTAGGTGGAGAAGAAATAATATATATCGAATAGAGGGACTCAACTTGAAGAAATCCACCGACTGTATCCGTAATGGTATTGAACATTGTGTGAATTGCACAATGGGCCACAATGTGACTTACAGCTGTATAAATCAGAGTCAAGAAGGATGGGAGAAAATGCTCATTAGGTCCAGAGGTCGATTCGACTTGAAGAAATCAACCGACTGAAAAATGGAATTGAACATTGTGCGAATCGTACAAGCGAATTGTGATCCAGAGCTGTATAAATCAGGGCCAGGAAGGATGGATATAAGCACTGGTGCACGTCGCCATTGAATCCTGTATCACATCGCGACGCGTAAATCGTACCACCTCCAACGTTGCAATTTTGGCACTGCCAGATTTATGTTTCCCTTAAGCTAGAGTTTTCTTTTCAGCCCATTATAATGGTGGACTGTGAAATTCAGGGCAGTTAAGAAGAGAGGGAATGAGCGCCGGTAGTGCGTAGTGCACGCCGCCATTAAATATTGGTGGTCTATTCGTAGACTTCAGGCGGATCGGAGATCAACTCCCCGCCGGTGCATCCGGGGGTACTGCAACTTTTTAATAGTTGCTCCTACACCTACATCTTAGCGTATTTATTCCTGTCCCGGGGACCTAGATATTATGTCGACAAATTATTGGGAAAGTGTTGGGGAGGTATTGATGTGGACGAATCGGGCACTGCCTATACCGATGTTTTTAAAGTCAAACTACTGCGATGGCATCGGCTAGTGGAGGATTTAGAGCTGTATAAATTAGGGTCAGGAAGGATAAATATAAGCATCGGTGGTGCATGGTGCACGTTGCCATTAAATGGGAAGCTCGAAAACCGGCGTTTCAGGCAAATCGGGGTTCGATTCTCCGCCGGTGCATTCGGGGGTATGGAACTTTTTTATAGCTGTTCTCGCATCTACATCTTAGCGTATTTGTTCCTTCCGGGGAGGTATTGATGTGGAAGAATCGGGCACTGCCTATACCGATGTTCTTAAAGTCGAACTTGGGTGATTTAGAGCTGTATAAAAGAGAGTCAAGAAGGAGGGATATAAGTTTCGGTGGTGCATGGTGCGCGCTGGCCCAAAGTAAGATGACTTTCAGTTGCAGGATGTCAGGCAGACCGGGGTTCGATTCCCCACTGGTGCATGGAGTTTCTCCATCCAGAATCCTTACTTTTTTCATACCTTGCAGCATATTTTTGTCTTGCCTTGGGGACCTAGATCTTGTGTCAAGAGATTATTGTGGAATTAGATATTATATCGACAGATTATTGGGAGGAGGGATTCAACTTGAAGAAATTAACCGCCTGTACATCGGTATTGACCATTGTGTGATTTAGAACAGTATAAATCAGGGTCAGGAAGGATTGATGTAAGCACCAATGGTGCACGGTGCACGCTGCCATTAAATCCAGGTGCATGATTTAGCGTCTCGGGCAGACCGGGGTTCGATTCCCCGCCGGTGCATGGGGTGGGTGTACCACATTTTTTCTTCTAATTGTCCTCCTGAGGTAATCCTGCAGATTCGGAGTGTCGTCTTTCTCGGTACGCTCGTATTACCGGTAGGTAGGTAGGTAGGTAGGTAGGATTACACGGCACGGTCCCGCTCAGGAACGCCGGGCCCAGGAAGTATCTAATGTACAAAGGCACTGCGTACACTAGTCCCTGGACTTCACTGTATCTCCATGGCCGAGCTCGCGATACGAACCGCTGTAGAACCACTTCAACACACCGAAGCAAGTTAGTCACCACAAACAGGGGGTACCAGAGCATCTATCAAACGAAACACGGGGCGTGCGTAGAACAATTGAAGGACATCATATACATACTTTGCCACAAGTGCGATGGTTGGGCGGTTATAGATCATGGCTTTGACAAATTCAATATTTGTCAAATCAGCCATGCGGAGTTGCCAGGATGGCGCGTCTGAGAAGAGCTTCGTGAGAAACGTGGAACGTAATTGATTCAGCGTGTCAAGTGCATCACATGAGATCAGTGCATGTTCTGGAGTTTCCACCTTGTCTTTACACATCCTGCAAAGCCGTTCCGCCCAGGGCACGGGAGCGTATGCGTGGTCAACGTAGCGCAATACTTCCACGGCAAGTAGATGGGTAGAGAGCAGCAGGGAGGTAATTGCCTCCCGGTGCTTTTGTACTCTGACCATACTTAAATAATGCCGCATAATAGAAGTGATTTGGGCCGGACCCTCATCCTTTTGTGATTCTAGACGTCTGTGAAGTAGATAGAGCTTCTCTGACAAGTTAATTTCTTCCTGTAACCATTCCTGTAGTAATTTACTGACCATTTTTTAGTAATCTTGAACATATTCAACCTCAGTTGCGGTGTTCAGAACAAAAATGAGGCAAGGGAATGGGAGACCTTGGGCCGCTTTTATGACATCCTGTGGCCAACTCTTTTTACCCTCGAGTGCCAGTTCAATCGAACTGTTCAGTGTGGCTCGGGCAAAGTGGGTGTTTTTTAGGCTCAGGAAGTAGCATAAGTGGCCGAGGACAATTTGGAAGCTTTTTACTCGCAGTGGGACCAATCCAGTTTCTGTGAATAGAGGCGCTATCATAGAGCGAGAGTGCAAGTTGAGCATGTGGCGGATGAAGCTTACTTGAACTTTACACAGTTTCTTCACATGGATTGATTCACTGTCCGGGGAGACTTCGCATCCGTGGATCAGATGGTAATCAATTGTGGCCATGTATAGATTCTTAAGTTCTTTCGGCGTAAGCCTTCCTGTCATGTCTTCTAAACCCATGATTCTATGCCCGCAATATCGCGCCGTTTTTGCCTTTAGAGTATAATGATATGCAAACATGTGACGGGTTTCCGTGTTCATATTCATGCCAGCATATTTCTCTTTAACTTTGACTTTTAAGAGCGCAGTTCCAAGACGGAACTCTGGGAGTGGTACACGGCACGGCCCAAAGATCAAAATAATTGTCTTGATCAAATTGATCAGGATAAAATTTGAGGCACACCATTTTTCCAGAGTTGACAGCTTAGCACGCATCCCACGGGGTGAAAGCGAGATAATAAGAAGGTCATCCGCTTGGGCCATCAGAGAAATTCTGAAGCAAGCGAGGAACACATCATGGAATGGCAACGGAGTGGAGCATTAAAAGGATAAAGCCGAAGATGAACTTTAAATATTTGCCAGAAGTGCGTGCGCTGTCAGGCTGAGTCCTCTCTGTCCGATGAAATTCACAACTGTGAGATAACTGGCAGTTCACACGGGCCAGGTAGTACTTCACCGCTTCAGTTCCATTAGCTTTAGCCTCGTGGCATCAATTGCGCCGCATCCACAATAGCGGGGTGTGCGTCACTGCGTTCAGAGCCCAGCTAGCCACAAGGCTAGCCGAACCTAGCCGAGGCTAGCCGAGCTATTTCGAGACGCCGGGAGGCGTGACGAGGTGACTAGACGGGTAACTAGCCGGGCCTCGCCGGAGCTAGACGGCGATTTTTTGCAGGCCTACCGGCGTCTAGAAATCGCTTCGGCTACCTGGAGCCTGAACGCAGTGCGTGCTAAAATATCCTAATGACAGCCTAGGGCTGTTTGGAGTTTATATACCCATGGTGAAACTTCATTTTGGTATTTCTCCGGCTTCATGCGCGAAGCTCAGACGGCATCAAAAGTACGCAACAAAAAAAGTCCGCATCAAAGTAGCCGGATAGCCGGTGGCAGTGCACAAGCAACGGTGGCGAAGGACGCAGGCGCACGGCAGCGAGAGGCCTAAGCTTGACAGTGCGAAGCTGGGATAGAGGAAACACCCGTCCATTCAGCACAAACGTGCGGTGGAACCAAGATGAGAGGGCAAAAAATGAGCTGGATGCTCTCGGAGCAAAATGGATGTCGTTTTTTATTTTATTTTCGGTCTACTTCTACGACGATCGATCCAGGACGAGGGAATGGCTGGCGGAATGCAGTCCAACACTTGCAGCTACTTCTTTGAGTGCGCAGAGGTGGGGAGGCACCCGAATCAGCCATTTTCGAAATGGATGATGGTGGTAAGAAGGATAGACGAAATCGGAATATCAAAATGAAGCAAAAGTCTCGTGGAGGCAATATTGATGTTTGATGTAGAAAATTTGGGTGTGTACTGCGCAGGTAGGGCTTCGACCTGAGTTTAATCCGGCCATCATGCGAAACAGTGTGATTTAGAGTTGTATAAATGAAGGTCAGGAAGACATACTGTCCCAACACGTAGGGAAGCAATGGTCGCTGGCACCGGCGGGGAATCCAACCCCGTACCACCTCAATCATGGCTATTGTATCCCCGAATTATATGAGGAATCCACCATGCACCACCGGTGCTTATATTCGTCTTTCTTGACTCTGATTTATACAGCTCTTAATCACCCAATGGTCAATGCCATTACAGCAGTTCAAAAAATTATCGGTTGCCATACTTTCCACGACACTTTCCAATAATCTGTCGATATAATATCTAGTTCGTCTGTACAATAGGAGACTGCGCTGCGCTGAGGACCGGTGAAAACAGTCAGAAAAAAAAACGCGTTGTCAGCACTATATGCACCGGCGACGACTCGAACCCCATGTCGCCTTGATCGTAGAAGCATGACACCATTGTACTTTTTGAGCTGTGTGCACCATGCACTATCGGTGCTTATTCCCATCCTTCTGTGTGCTGCTCCATACAGCTCTAAATAACCAAATGGCGAATGGCATCACACTAGGTCAGTTCTTGAGGTTGGATCAACAACATCGGCTATAGCTAGGCAGTGCCCCATGTCTTCAATACCCCACGACACTTCCCCAGTACTCTGTCGTCACGATATCTGAGCCTCTGTAGTAAGCAAAAATGTGCTGAGGAAGCGCGAAGAAGATAGAGGAAAAGAGCCCTTTGAACACTTATCTGATCATTCAGGTACCCACTAAAATAATGCCAGCAATGCGGCGTTAATCTACTGATAGTGTCAATGCCATAATTGAAAAAAAAAATAGGAAAGAATTATAGTCGAACACACCGGCAGGGAATCGAACCCCCTCTTCCCCCAATTTAAACAAGTCATCGACCAGCCAGTATATTAAGGGGCCGTGCACCATGCACCACCAGTGCTTACTGTCCCAACATGTAGGGAAGCAATGGTCACGGTAACGAACCGGCCGTTGCGCTGCCTCAGTCACGGTAACGGTAGGCCTGGTTGCTCAAAAAAAACCGTGACATTGAATAAAGATTTAGCGCCCAGTAATTTGTAACGTTTTTTTATGAATAAAAAGAAAGACGACCTCAAGTTTCGAACAATAGATGTCCTGTGGGGGGTATGTTTGAAAGATAACACTTATATTCCAACTGAACCACTTGGCAGCATAAGTTTTTCTGTTGCTTAAGGAGGTGACCCTCCGTTGCCTCAAAAATAGGCAACGGGTTTGTCACGGTCCCCAGCTGCAGGAAGCCCATTTCTTTTCTAGCTTATATACTTTTGTGCTTGGCAGGGTATTTCGGTTGTGTCTTATCCCAGACAGTTGTCCGGGGAGGTAGTGATGTGGTTGAAGAAATCGGGCACTGCCTAAGCCGACGTCGATTCGACTTTAAGGACTTGAAGATGAAACTATATTGTGATGGTATTGGCCATTAGGTGATTTAGAGCTGTGTAAATCAGGGTCAAAAAGGATAGATATAAGCATCGGTGGTGCATGGTGCATGCTGCCCTAAAGTAACTGTCCTTAGAATGTCTGAAGGCAGACCGGGGTTCGATTCCCCGCCGGTGCATAAGGCATTGTCGAACAACAATTATTTTTTTCCTGGTTTAAGTTATTCATATCTCCCAGCAAGTTTGTTGCCTGCTGCTAGGAGGCACAGATCGAATGCCCAAATCGTAGCAGGAAGTAAGTGCCCTCGATGTTGAAATTTCGGCATTGCCGGAGATTTTTTTTTTCAGCCAGTTATGTTGGTGGGGCAGGCTGGGAAATCGAGGCAATGTAAATGATGGTCGAGAAGATGGGCGGTGGTGCGTTGGTGCACGCCGCCATTAAATAATATTGGAGATCCGAGGCGGATCGGGGGTATTAGGATTGACTAGAGTATTTTTCCAGTTGTTTTTGTGCTCGGTAGCATATTTTTGTTAGTGTTGGCTGGGACCAGGATATTAGGGGAGTTCATGGTAGGGCCAATTTTTGCGTTTGTGAATAAATATATTCATTTGATGGGACGAATAAAATCGTCGTTTGTGGAATAAATGCGTGATCACCCCGTTTGAGTCTCAGGATATATTCCTATAGCATTAATTCAACCTGCCAGGCATACACACCTCACAAACACCTTATTTTCGCCATCTAGTCATCTGACAGACCCTATATCAGCTAAACAATAATTTGGTTCAGGGAGTATTATTTCTATTTTTTTGATGGGAGGCCAGTACTGTTACAGGTGATGAGCGGGAGAGGTGGGATGATGGGTGAGATGAGGCAGAATGATGGGCGAGATGATGGGTGGGATGAGGCAGGATGATGAGCGGGAGAGGCGGGATGATGGGCGAGATGATGGGCAGGGGAGGCGGAATGATGGGCAGGATGAGGCGCAATGATAGGCGCGATGATGGGTGGGAGAGGCGGGATGATGGGCGTGGCCAGCTTACTTACTCAAGCAGGTATATATATTCCACAAAAAATGGTCCCATCACTCGATTATTTTTATTCACAAACGACAAAATAATGCCTAGCGTGAACTCCCCTATTGGGTGACTTTCCATAAGCATATTTTATTCTGGGGAATATCCGAGCTTCTTTGAGAGTGCCAGTGATGGCATCAATCGATTTAATCGCCGTTTTCTTATGGGAAACCCCTCAGATGAATTTATTTAGTCCAAGCTTTTTTGCTTTTTGCTCCGAAATTCGATTAGGATTGACAGCTGTTTGAAGCTCAGGTTCGTGCCAAATAATGCGTCAACAAACACGCTCTTCCTTGCATACTCCTCGCACAATCCAACAACTATGGATCTTGACACCTTGATACTGCTTCAACACAACGAAGAGAACAAAACACAATGAGCACGGACACAATTTTGTGGTTTTTATGGTACAGAGGTTCGGACTCGTCAGGGAGGCATCAGGTCAAGTAGACTTTTGTTGAGAGGGAGACCGCCATAATGGATAGCAACATAGAGCAGGAATATATAAATTGTTGCCAGAGAGTAAGCCGGAAGGGAGCTATCCTGCCCTGGCGCAGGGTCTGGTGGGCTGAGGTATGTCGTGGCAGAAGAGCGGAGGAGGTAAAGCCGATGATGCGACCAGATGTGACACGAGTCCCAATTGGGAACGATGATGGGAGTAGCAGCCAGATTCGTTATATTCTCAGAAATGTTGAGGATATGAAAGTCTGTACAGGGGGTAGGTACCCCCTCTTCAGATTTCTATAGATTTGAATAGATCTGCATTAAATTGTGTACGTTTTTGGCACATCAAATTGATGGGGTCCTGACAGCTGACTCGGCATCGCGGCGGAAATGGCTCAGATATTCCCTCAGAATATTTTATGCTTATGGAAAGTCACCCATTATGTCGACAGATTATTGGGGACGTGGCGGGAGAAATCCAACTTGACGAAATCAACCGACTGTAAAATGGCATTGGGCATTGTGTGAACTCCACAATAGTAACGGTGTAAATCACACAATGGCACACGGTGTGATTTAGAGCAGTATATGGATACCAGCACCGGTGGTGCATGGTGCACGCTGCCATTAAATGGGGGGGATTAAGGTGACACGTTTCAGGCAGATCGGGGTTCAATTCTCTGCCGGTGCATTCATGGTGTAAAGAAAAAATTCCAGCTGTTTTCACGCCTCCTCCTCAATATATTTTCGTTTAATACTAAGGCCAAGATTATATCGACAGATTATTAGGAAAGTGTTGTGGAGGTATTGATGTGGAAGAATCAGGCACTGGCTATACCGAAGTTCGTAAAGTCGAACTACAGTGATGGCATCGGCCATTGGATGATTTAGAACTGTATAAATCAGGGTCCAAAAGGATAGATATAAGCATCGGTGGTGCATGGTGTGCACTGCCCTAAAGTAGGAAGACTTTCAGTTGCAGAATGTCAGGCAGAGTCCAGACCGGGGTTCGACTCCCCGCCGGTGCAAGGAGTGGTTTCATCCCTCTTTTTTTCACAACTTCTGAACAAGCTGAGTCTCTCCCACTACGCAAATTTAATCTCGCCCACGCTCCTTGAGTTATCACGCCCGCTTTGTAATTTACAACGCCTGGCTTTGACCGCACCGCCCCCGGCTTCTCCCGAACACCGCCACACGCCGCAGCTTCTTGTCTCGTTTTCCGCCATGGCCTCCTCCGGGCTCTCCCGCCGACGCGCCAATGCCCCGACAACAACAACACACGACGACGACGACAACGTCTCCTCATCCCCCCCCCGCCTCTACCACCCCCGCAGAAAAATCGCCCGAGGCGCAGCTCGAATCCTCTGAGGTCTGACAGGTGGCGCGCATGCGGGCAGCGCCTTCGCCAATGGATCGCGCGTCGCCTACGACCCGCGCGATCTGCTTTTGAGTTCGCAGGAGAGCGCTGCTTTGGGGGGCAGCGTGCCGAAGCTCACGCTCATGGAGGAGGTGCTGCTGCTCGGCATCAAGGACAAGCAAGGGTACCTCAGCTTCTGGAACGACAACATCAGCTATGCCCTGGGGGCGGTGTATTGCGCGTTATTCTAATTCTGTAACTGCGTTCGCGTCCTCGGGTGCTTGCCAAGTCAATGGCTGGTGGCATGCGCTGTGTGCCGAAGACCGTGTGCGCATGCTCATGATCAGCGTTCACCCAGGGCGCTTGATGCCCATCATGTCGCGGCTCCGTGCCCCGCACATACGGCTGCCCGGACGATAGCGCCCTCGCCGATGAGCGTAGGACCACGCTCGGCGCTCGTGGAAGGGCGTACCGCGCGCGGGGACTCGTTCCCAATTCGCATATTTTATTTCATTCACGTTTCTTTTTATGTTCGCTCCGACGTGCGCCCCTGGGATAGGCCTAGAAATAGGACGTGCTCGCCTCTGCGCGCATACTCCATCTCTACCCTGCACCGCTCCTTCATTCCGATCTGCTTTCTCTCGGCTCTTCTTTTTTCAAACCTTGTCTGGTGGCTCGGGGCGGGCTCTGGACGCTCCATGCAAGGTACGGAGTGCACTTGCTGGAACGTCCGCGTCGGAGGGTTGTACGTCCGGGTCCGTATGTGTGATTCGGTGACGCCGCGCCAATGCGCGCAGCCGCGCGCGGGGGGAAAACGGCTTCGTCTCGGACGGCGAGGATACGCACACGTGAAAGACGGTCTCGTCTCGAGGCCTTCGTCG